CTCTATTGGATTCTGATGAACAGAGAACAATTTGTTGATGAGCTGCACGTCACAGGAAAGTGACTCTGCCGTGCTGAAACCTAAAGCTGGGTGGAGTCAAATATGTACCTTGGATGCCAGAGCAAAGGTACCCAGGCTCGCATTTACAAGAAGGAAACACCCACTAATTGACCTGAGGAAAGTGAAAGTGCTGTGTGCAGAAGCCATGGCTGCTGCCCCCGAGAGCACCGTCCTGGCTCTCAGCGAGGAATCCACTTGCCCCATCTGCCTGGATTTTTTCAGGGATCCCGTGATCATTACAGAATGTGGGCACAATTTCTCCCGAGCCTGCCTGAGGCAGAGCGGGGGGGAATCAGATGCACAGGCCTCCTGCCCCCAGTGCAGGGGGATCTTCCAGAAGAGGATCCTCCGGCCCAATCGGCAGCTGGCCAGGATTGTGGAAATCGCCAGAAAATCAGGGCAGCAGACCGTCAAAGGGGCTGAAAGGAAGGCGCAAGCCTGTGAGAAGCACCAGGAGCCCCTGAAACTCTTCTTCAGGGACCACGAAGCCCCCATCCGCGTGGTGTGTGACAGAGCCAAGGAGCATGAAGGTCACAAGGTTGTTCCCCCTGGAGGAGGCGTCCCAGGAGTACCAGGTAGGAGATCTGTGCACTGCTGGCCGGGGGTGTGGGGGTGGGAGAAATACCTGTGGGCCCCTCTGAGTGTGGCCTATCCGAGGACTAATAGGAAGGGAATGATGCTCCGTGATCCTCTGATCTCTTGCCATTCTGGATTACCCAGGAACCAGGCCCCTGGGAAGGGCCAGGCAGGATTGCTGTTCACACGCATGTTCTTTCTTGTGTAAAAGGGATCTGGGGGAAGCCCAGAAGCCCCGGGATTGTGGCGTGGGAGTTGTTTAGGTTGTTCTCCTCCAGCTGCTGCGTGCACCAGGTCTGGGTTGTGCAGAGCCAAAGGAGGCCGTTGAAATGTTGCAGGGAGAGGCGTAGCTGCCCTGGGGGGAAAGTTCCCCGGTTTGTGCCTGCTCTGTGGAGGGGGAGAGGAAAGAGCCGGTGTGCCAGGACATGATGGAGGTGCATGGAGGGGCCCCAGAGCGGGGAGGGGAATGCGGCCTCAGACACTCCCAGGCCAAACGGGGTCCCGGGAATCACTCCTTCTCCTCTGCCCTCCTTCCAACCCCCCGAGTTTGCCACGATTCGCACTGGAGCTGCAATACGGAGCAGGCCCTTTAAGACTCCTCCTGCCTGCCCTTGCGTGTCACTGAACCTCTTGTATTGAACCAAAGGCTACGCGAAAGCCCAACCGAATGGGGACAAGACATAAAGATTCAACCATTAATAAACAATATTGTTAAATAAAGTGCAGAACTGCATTGAGACCTGGGGCTGCACTCCCACAGCTCCAGCTCACCTGAGTGTGTGCCTGCGTGTGCCTGTGCTTGTGTGCAGGCGTGTGTCCGGCCCAGCTGGGTCTCCGGGTACAAAAAGAAAAGAGGTCCACACTGAAGTGGGTTCTGAAAGCTCTGGGATGCATTTAATATCCTTGGGGCATGGAAAATTCATGAGGACTTCTGACCTCCAGGTGCTCCCTCTTCCTCCCACCGTTTCTTGTCCTTGCAGTTCCTCAAGACACCAGCTGCTCTGTGTGTGTGTTTCTGGGTGCTGCAATCTTTCCTTTATTGAGGCACAGACACATTTCAAAGAGAAGGGTTCTATCAGAGATCCTGCACAGGTCATGCCCAAACCCAGTGCAATTCCGGACGAAGGGAAGAATTCCCCAGGAAAAGCAGGAATGCCCCTTTGCGGGGGCCGGTGTCCTTCCAGGCTGCTTCCTCTGCAGAGGGGCTGCCCTGCCCGCCATTCCCGCCCGGGGATGAGAGCGGCACTGGTCACTTCTGGGGTGGCCGGAAGCCTCTTCCACTCCGCCTTCCCTGCGCTTTCGGGATGCTCCCTTGCTGGTTCCGCTCGTGAGGAAACAGCAGAAAAAACCTTTTCCTTTTCAAAGTTAAGAGCTCAGGACAGGCAGTGAATTCAATGGCCCAGCGCATGTCATAGCTCGTTTCTGGATCCGCCTGGGATCAAGAAGGAACCTGAGAGCCCCCTTTCCCCTGACCCCACCAAGGTGCGAAAGGGAAGCAAGGAGGAACATCCCTTTCAATTCCTTTTTCTGCTTCTCTAAACTGAAAGTGAAGTGCTGTTCTCTCTCCAGGATCTGCTCTATCGTCACCTGGAGAGTCTGAGGGATGAGAGAGGAAGGATTTTGGCATGTAAAGTAGAGGCAGAAAGGGAAAAGCAGTTGCTGCTGGTAAGTATCAAGAATATGTCATGGAAGGGAAGGAGCACTTCAGCCAGGATGGGTCACATGGAAGAGAAAATGCCGGGGAATCGAGAGCCCATGGCAGCCCTTCCCTGCAGAGCACGTGACATTCTTCAAAGCTGCTGAACCTATTCTAGAAGTTATGCAAGAGGGGCCATTCCGAGAGGGGGTCCCTGAGCATCCCTCGCAAGACTGACCCAGTTTCCAGCTCCGTATGATAGAAAGCCTGACCTGGAGCGATGGAGGAAGCAATTCAAAGTATTCAGGAGGGAATCCAAAGGTATTAAGAAATGCCTCTCCTCTCCTCTCCTCTTCTCTTGTTGCTGTTATAAGTGATGGTAAAAGCTGCAATGTGTGAATTTTGTGGCTTGGCCACCATTTCCTTAACCTTCTGTTGCCTTGTTCCTGCATGAGGAAGATCAGCTGGTGTGGAGAGGGCTTCCTGGGGGTTTTCATTCCTGCTTTGGGTTTTCACCACCTAGAATCATTTGGCATCACTCTGGTTTGGCAGTCCTGCTTCCCCCAGAATCACACAATAGCAGGGCCAGAAGGGGCCAGGAAGGCCATCAAGTCCAGCCCCCTGAGGGAGCAGCACACCCGGTACACCATCTCACTCAGAGAACGGTCCACCTCCTTCTCCTTGAATGGCCCTGATGTGGAGGAGCACGGAAGCTCTCCTGGCAACTGGTTTCACTGGGAAGTTGCTCTGACCGCCAGGAGATGCTGCTGTGTGCCTGGCCTGCCCCTGGTGTGCTGCTGTTTAGGTTCGCTCTTCCGTGCCCTACAATCTGGGAGGAGCGAGAAGAGGGCTGTTCCTTCCTCCTTGTGGCGGCTTTGAGGGACCTTCCAGTGCTATCGTGTCCCCTCAAACGCTTTTCACTCAGCTTCATGCCACACACCCATGAAGGCAAACTGAACAGGATCCGTGCCTGGAAACTTCTAGAGCAGTTTCTAGAGCGGACAGTCTGCCAACACCTTGAAAACGAGGCCGGGATGACTAGAAGGAGATGCAGATTCGCCACAAGGAAATTCTGCCAGACTTTCCCGATCTCCTTTTCTAATCTGGGCACCTCCCCTGTGGACTGTGGGAGGGCTGGTCACGTCCTGCGCCTTTTCTTTAGCAAAGCCCCTAATGAGGTGCCCCATGAGATCTTTCTTGGCAAATTAGCTGAAAGAGGGGGTCAGCTCTCAAGGGCGCCACAGTTGGCCATCTTGAGTATTACAGAGAGTTCAGTGCTCCGCAGTTTAAGAAAGATGCAGACAGGCTGGGAAGGGTTGAGATGATCTGAGGACTGGAAATGAAGCCTCGGAGGAGGGATTGGAAGAGCTGGGCCTGTTTGGCCTCAAGCAGAGAAGACTTGGGGGAGATATGGTGACACTCTGTGAGTAATGAAAAGTTGGTCCCAACGGGGAAGGTCAGGATTTCTATCACTCCAGGTTGCGGAACATGGAATATTGGGCCCGTTTCTGTGGAGTTTTGCCTGATTTTGCAGGGTGTGTTTCAGTGTAAAGACCCCCTCATGACACCAAGGGGAATAGCCCCCCCCCCTCAAATAATTCATAGGAAGGAACTTGTTGGTTTTGATTCTTTCTAAAACTGGGTGGGCAGTCAGTAAAAGGGAGGGAAAGTGAGGAGAGGGTTGGGGAAGCGGGCTTGGGGAACTGTAAGTTCTGCCTTTAGCTTTTGAGTAATGTTGCTTCTTACATTTTATTGGGTTTGAGAGGGAAGCTGTGATTAAGAAGTGGGGTGTTAATGCTTGAGATAGAGATCAAAATGGCTCAGCTTCTGCTTTCTTGTTATCTCTCCATCCACAACAGCGAATGTGACCCTGGATCCGGACACCGCTCATCCTCATCTCCTCTTGTCTGAGGATCATAAAAGTGTCAGGATGGACACAAAATGCAAAAAGTGCCTGACAATCTGAAGCGATTCAGCTACAACCCTTTTGTGCTGGGCCATGAGGGCTTCACAGCTGGAAGACACTCCTGGGAAGTCCATGTAGGAAGTAAGGGAACCTGGGCTGTGGGTGTTGCCAGAGAGTCTGTGGTCAGAAAGAGCGCAGTTTTTTTCTCTCCCGAGGAAGGGATCTGGGTTGTCAGGTGTTCCCAAGGTACACACAGAGCTTGCACTAAACCTTATTCTGCTCTGCCTGTGAGTGGGGAGCTGAACAGAATTGGGGTGACTCTGAACAGTGATAGGGGGTGGGTGGCCTTTCATGATCCCGACCGGGGGTCCCTCCTCTATGCCTTCTCTGGGGTCCCATGCGCAGGAGAGACCCTTTCCCCTTCTTTTATGTTGATTATGATGCCCTCCTCAGGATCAGTTCTTAAGGCCGCCAGGAGCCTCCCTCGCATGGCCTCCTCTTCCGACTGCAAAGATTCACCAAGAACCAAAGCCTTCCCCAGACGAGGGCCATTCCCCCCCCCCAACAGCCCCCCAGAAATCCTTTCCATCTCAGTCACTGGAAGGAAACACATGGAAGGTGTGCCTGCTTTCTCCCTCCCTGTCCCCAGTTACCTCTCCGTCTGGGTTCCCAGGAAGGCAGGGGCCTAGAGTGATCATCCACAGAGTCTCCTCGCAGGGAAGTCGCATTCAGTGGATTTCGGCTCCAGTTTCAGACTTCCTTTCTCTTCCTTTCCCTTCCACAAGAACTTGGAAAAGGGAAAATCAGAGGAAAACCATCCACTGTCTGGGACATGTCTGCCTTCACTCACATGCGCCATCCTTGCTTGTTCTCTGAGAGCCGCACTTGGCCTTTCAGCAGAAATACCCACATTGGAAAGGTGGAGAAACAGGAAGGGAAGGTGCAGCCTGCCAGGCGTACCTGAAGTTGCTGCCTCCAACACCCTGGGAAACGGGAACGGGATGCGGCATTGCAATTATTTTATTTATTTATTAATTAAAACATTTTTATGCCGCCCCATTCGCCGAAGCCTCGGGGCGGCTCACATCAATAAATTAAAATAATTATAATATAAATTAAAATATAAATATAAAATTAAAATACAACAGTACAGTATAAAATAAGCCGCCCTGGCCAGATAAAACCAATAATGTTAACAGTTAAAATGCCGCTTGAATAAAAAGGTC